TCATCGTTAATGTAGGAGAAGCGATGGAAAGCGACGGAGACCGGAGGTTTCGCTCCGAGGAAGCGTCCGAGTCCCTCCATGGAACTGTCGAGCTCATCGGCGGCGAAATCGTGATAGACAGTGACCTCGCCGGAGAACCGAAGCAGGAGGAAGAGCAGGAGCATGTACTGTACGGAATGTTCCTGGGTCCGGGTTCTTGCCTCTCAAGCCCGTGTCCAGACCCGAACCCGTGTCTGGGACTGGTCGAGCTCTCGCTACCTGCCAGTGACGCCAAAGGCGAGTAGAATTCCTCTTCTTCGTCTCCGTCTTCTTCCTCGGTGAGAGAACCCGCCGCTTCATAGTTCTGCTCGAAACCACGAGGCGGCAACGGCGGAAGCGGTCGGATTTCCGGCGACTCCGTCTTCGATAAATCCGGCCCGGATTCGACGATTCCATTGTAGCCCTGATCATCTGCAGAACGCGGTGTTACGACATTGCTCAGGTAGAGAACCTCGGAGGCGGTAGGAGATACTGAGAGCTTGTTAGCGGTGTTTCTCTGCGGGGGACAGAGTTCACGGCTACTGTTGTCGGAAGCTAAGCTCTTGTCTTCCTCCTTGAAATGACGGTTATGCCCTCGCCAGTGTCCGTAGAGGAAGAAGGCGAGACCGGTGAACGTGGCGACGGTCAATACGGCGGAGATAGCCGGGACTAAGAGTTTCCGGGAACCAGGTTGAGATTTAGGGGAGCGAGGGAGGACGAGGGCGGAGATGTTCGCCGGGAAAGTAACGAAGGTGGCCGGAGGCGGCGGTGGAGGGACGGAGGGGTACGACGGGAAAAACGGGGAGCCGCCGGCGGTAAAAGAGAAAGACGGAGGCTCCGGCGGGGGGAGGACGGCGTCGTAGGACGGCGTCGTAGAGGAATCGACGGCCGAGAATGGCTGGAGGGGCGGAGGTTAACAGCAAGAAGAAGACAGTGAACAGTAGAAACGACAAAGAGTCATGCATGGTGTTGCTTTTTTTCTGCAGAGCAGAGTGTGTACGTCCTCTGCAGCCTGCACTATGTGCCCTAAGGGAGGAAGAAGGTGGATGATGCCATTACAAAAGAAACTTTTTTTTTCTATATACAGCGTGTAATTTCAAATTTCAGATTTTCTTAGTAAATGAATACTGAGTGAAACTATTTTATAAGCAATAATATACTTTGAAGCCCTTGTTTCAAAAAGAATCTTTTTTTTTTTACTTTCCATCATGGAAAACATAAAAAGCTGGGAAATTTGGACTGTTTGCCATGAAACCAAGTGAAAAGTTGGGATTTTTCAAAAGCCCTCTCCCATAATTTCCTTTCTTTCTACTGTTCCAAACACTCAAGAGAGAGAGAGAGAGAGAGAGAGAGAGAGGGCCAAGAGGCAAGAGGCAAGAGGCAAGAGGCAAGGGCATCTTCTGCTTATGATGAAATGTGAAACTGCATCAGGTTTCAGATTCAGAACTCATTCATCTTCACAAGGAATAATCAGATTGCAGATGTAGAGACATGAAACTGTGGATGATACTAAACTAAACCCTTTTATTTCTTAATCACTGATGAGATGAAGACAGCATTGAGATTTCTTGGCAGTTCCAAACTGGTATTATATGAACCAGACAGATCAAATCAAAGTCTAGTCTTGCCATTAAGAACATAGAAGACTTCCTCTTCAACTGCATCAAGCTCAAACCCTCCGGTTAAAGAGCCCTGCAGTTCCAAACCGGTTTTCTATGATCCAGACAAACTTCATGGAGTGTATGTGCAATTCAATCCGTTGGAGAAACACACTCTTGACTGCCACTAACATGATATTTGATTGCAGAAGCTTCTTTACTCACAATGATATATGGAGCTTCAATTCAATTTTACTTCACAACTCAGACGGAATGAGCTGCCAATTGGTATTTGGTGTGATCTGTATGCTTCTTTCTCTGTAACAAAATGAAGTAGACATCATAAGGTAGTTCCACAGCTGCGAGTTTCTGACGGCTGTAAAATCCTCGGTTTTGATGCAAAGTTACAAATTTGAGCCCAAGAAAATGGAGTCTAGTTGGAGTTGTTTTGATTTGAAAACCAGAAAAATCAGACGCAAGAACAAGTTAGGGTTCCATGTGGTACCTCATTGTTGTAGTCATCTGTCTTTCAGTTAACCAAACCACGCAGGTCGTCGAGGTGGCGGAGATGGGTAATAACCCTAAACCGATTGCGACGACGAGAGGAGAAGTCGAGAATATCACATTGGACTCGAAAACAACGAGAGGCAAGGGCCCCGAGACTGGAGTACGGCCCAGCAATGATCGAAGAGCTCGGCCGAGGAGCACCACAGTCAAAAGATGGCTGAAATTAACAAGATGTCTGTAAAAATTTATAAAAATATTTTTCAAAATAATTAGATCATAAAACGATAGTTTTTTACATAAACAGAGACAAAAATAACTAGATCATTGATAGATATCTTTGGAATTTTCTAATAACCTAAGAGTATAATGGTTATTTTTCTACTATTCGAATACACACGGGTAATTAACCGACTCGAAAATACTAACCTGAACCCGAACACGAATTTGGGGTTTTAGACATAAATAAAACCCAATCTCTGGCCAAACCATGCATCAATTGGAAGAATATCATGTTCTATATCATACCAAGGAGAGGAATAAGATGATTATCCAAAGGTTGGGAGGGAGAGAGTGGTTCACCAAAGGGATCGTTTGGATCTTTGACCGCCGCCAATAGGCCCCATGCCCATACCATAACCACCAACCATAGGACCACAAAATCAACCATTATGCATCTTTCCCCCATACATACTAGAACCTCCCTATGGACCAACATATAACATCTCCCTTATACATGCCATGACCATGCATTCAGCTCCTGTATGATGAACTATGCCCACCATATGATGAACCATACAGGCCTGAATCATGCCCAGAAGATATATAACATAAACAAGAATAAGCATTCTGTTTTCTATATTCCGAAATCCATATTAACATCACTAGGTATCATCATGAAGATATATATACACATATATCACCATAAGTGCTCGCATAGTTGTGTTGTTCCCAAGGTCGAGTTACCATAAGAGCATTTGTATTAGCAGCCGTAGCAGTTCTATTTGCGGTGGTAACTATTTCTAGGAGGTTTGAATCTGCAGCAAAAAAAAGAATGGGTACACTACAAAACCAAGGAGGCAACAGCTTCTGAGCTTGAAAAAGAAGAACTCCTAACCAAAATTGACGAAATAGGTGAAGCGAAACCCTAAAGATAGATCTATACGATCGTGTGTATATATCACCGGAATGGTTACAAAGCCACGTGTTAGCTGAGACGCCATGGCCGGGAAGTGAGAATGGAACCCACAGAATTTACCTGATGATGGCTGAGACGCCATGGCCGAGACCATTCGAGGGCCATTGTAATCTCCACCGTCAAACTTGGGAGACAGAGAGAGAGGACAAACGGGGACGTCGAGAAGCGACGGAGAGAACAAACGGGTCACTTTCTACTTTTAGGTTATTACATCTTGGCCCCAATATTTTCAACTAATTATCATACTTTTCCTGGGAAACCTAATTTGACGAAAAAGACGACAAATCAAAATCGAAAGGGAAAGAAACAGATAGAGATGAAAAGGAATAAAATTTTATTACAAAGATTCCATTTTTTTCGAAGCAAACCCAGTTGGCGGTCGGATTTTCCCACAACCCAGCTCCGTCTCTTTCTCCCTGTTCCAATCCCGCCATAGATTTACACTAACAATCTCTGCTAGTTCTAACACTTTGGGTGAAGAATTCTCTGTAATTTTGGGGAAAGCAAGCGTCTTTATCACGAGCACGGGAGTGATTTAACATTAGTTAAGGCGTAGTTAAGTTCCTGTCTGGGTAATTATGGCGGCGAGCGCGAACCCTTCGGGAAGCAATCAAGAGGGTTCGTCGGCGGCGGTAGACAAGGTTTCGGCTTCTTCGGCGGCGGCAACGAATGGAGCTGCTGTGAATTCGACCAATAATGGAGGAAAATCAGGCGGTGGAGCTGCGGCAGTGGATAATTCTCCGACGATTACGGCTTTAAGGCATAATCCAGGAATCTCTGTCGATTGGTCTCCGGAAGAGCAGTCTCTGTTGGAGGATTTGCTGGCAAAGTATATCTTCTCGTTTCTCTCTGCGTTATGCATATGGACTCGCTGTTTTTTCTTTGAATTTTTTGCTGAAATTCCGTAGTTTCTCTTCAAATTAGCAGTTAGAAATTGATTCTCTTTCTTTTGCTCGAGTTTCAGACATCTTGTGATTGGTTCCGTGAACATGTTTCCTCGGAGTTTTATATTGAAAAATGTAGAGATGTTCTTGGTGAGGGATCTTATCCTTGTGTATAGTAACTAAGCCGTCGTCTTCCCACTGTTTAATCCACTACCTTTGCCAGTTGTGCTTCACGCTTATCTATATGTTAGCTTAGTGCAAAACACATATCTTACCCTTCAAATTGATGTGCAGGTTTATTGCTAGTCAATCCACATTCTTGCTCGATTTTGGGCTCGTTAGGCCACTGATTAGCTATGCGTTTGTGGTTTGTGTCATTTCAGGTTGCTTGCTTATGTAAGCAACAGTTTGTTCACTGGTGTTGTTCCTTAGTGCTCTATGTTTTGAGCTTATAGGATATATTTTGAGAATAAGCGTCAAGATCTGCACTGAGTTGGCGTTTCCCGAAAGTTCTGCACGATCCCTTTTCGATATTTTCCCCCTCACTCTTTGGTAAACGAGGTTTTACAGGTACGCGTCAGAATCTACCATCGTTCGTTGCGCTAAGATTGCGATGCAGTTGAAGGACAAAACGGTCAGGGATGTGGCCCTGCGTTGTAGATGGATGACCGTGAGTTTCTTCTAACCTGTTGTTGCCGAGATTGTGTGTCTCTGATTTGTTTCTATCAGTGGATTCAGCATCATCGTTAATGTATCCTTGTGTGATTACCGACAGAAAAAGGAGAATGGAAAGCGTAGGAAAGATGATCATTCGTCAAGGAAAAGCAAAGATAGAAAGGTATTACGGATTACCAACTGGAAGGAACCGAAAGCAGTTGAGATTGTGGACATATTAAGTTGCTTACTTACGATGTTTGCATAATACCGAGCGACAGGAAAAAGCCACGGATTCTTCAGCAAAGTCTTCGTCTCATTTGAACGCTAACCCTAATGGACCTTCTTCCTATGCTCCTCCTATGATGCCTGTGGACACTGATGATGGTATTTCTTACCAAGGTTTGTCCGAGAATCTGCATTTTTCTTGTTCTTTCAGTTGATGCTCTTAGATCAAAGCGTCTTTAAAACCGTGATTCTCGCAGCTATCGGTGGCGCGGCTGGAGAGCTTCTTGAGCAAAATTCGCAGATGTTTAGTCAAATTTCCGTAAATTTCTCGTCTTTCCAGGTGAAAATTGTACTTCTCAATTCTCAACGCGCGGGACTTTCTATTGTTGCAAAGTACTTGGGAAATCCGCTTATTACCTCTTAAACTTATTCCGGATCATTACCCGTGGATATCTTCCTCGTTTGTTTTCTTCGATTGCAGATGCACGAGAACGTCAATCTCTTCTGCAAAACCCGGGACAACATTCTCGCAATCTTGAACGAGTAATCTTCTTTAACCCGTTTCTACGCTGCAGACTTGGTGCCTTTTTACTTCTCTCATTGTTGCCCTCTTCCAAGACATGACACACAAACTCAGCAGTTTGAACGGTTGGACATGTATTTTTCCGCAGTTTAAACGACATGCCCGAGGTAATGAAGCAGATGCCTCCTCTTCCGGTGAAGGTGAACGAAGAGCTCGCGAACTCGATCCTTCCCCTCCGCCCGCCTCATCAAATGCAGTCATGATCTTATACAAGCAGTAAGCTCATCAATGGTTTCTCCCGGTACACTTCTCTAAATCCGAGATCGAATCGAATTCCAGCGAAAAAAAGAGCGAATAAATCGCGGGCTACTTAATAACAAGAAGCTCCAACGTGATGATTTGTCGAACGCCCCCGACCCTTTAGAGTAGTTTGTTCTCAGCTCATCATTTCCGGGTTTCGGTTCGGTTCTTATTGATCTGTGTTCAGGGTTGTATGGCCCGTGTAGGATGTGAATAGAGTCATGTCTGTGGGGAAATCTGTGGCCTTTGTAACAAAGTCAGTGGCTTATGTTTTCAGTGTCAAGTGTTTTCATGAGAAGTACATACGAAGAAACTTCATTGTAACTCCATTGTCCAAAAAAAAAAAAGTGTAAGCTTTTTCCGAACAATGGCGATTTGCGATCGTCATTCATTGCTCTCCCATGGAATTTGCAGAATCTCGCAAAAATTCTAGCATTTTGTCGGAGAACGGGAGCGTCGGTTAGGGGTGGGAGTGTCGGTTAGGGGTGGGACCAGATGGGGAAAAAATCCGAAGATCGTTCAAGCGGATTTGAAATATGAACGGATAATCCGGGGATATTTTTGTTTTTGATAACTCGAAAGTTCAGCAGATATTCGGATCAACTACATCTTTCAAGACGGAAAGATCGGGAGACAATTTGTGTATCGTAATTAAATTGCGCAGTTCCTCCCCACCACCTATAGAGTCGAACATAGGATCTTGTTAAGGACTAGACCACCACATGGAAGGTGGATAACAGTTAATCCATGGATATAGGACGAAATTTCGGTTTTTATCTTAAAACTCACCATGTTTCTCTCTCTATCCACGGATATCCGCAGATTTGGAATATCCGAAACCGAATTGACCATCGATGACGGGTTCGAGGGATCGGATTCCGAACCCTAGAACTGAAGTTGTTGCTGGGGTTTGGAATTGGAATCCAGTATCCCAATGGATTCAAAATACATAAGAAACGTTGCAGTGAAAATGCGTCGTGATTTCGTGTATTCGGTTTTTGTAATCATTAACGAAGAGAAACAAAAGCGTGATTCCAACCAAAACTAGTCTTTTAGTTTACGCCAAACATTTCTTGTTAGCATAAATTTCTTTTGACGTTTTGGGTTAAAAGTGAAAACAAATAAGGTAGGAAAAAAACTTGAAGATATATAACCTACAAAAAAAAAAAAATCAGCCGTGTAATTATTAAAGGAAGGGTATAACAATTTAGGTTGAGAAAACAAACATTAGAACCTTATGTTTTTTTTTTGGCATAATATTCAAATTAAGGAAATAAAAATTTTATTTTTATTATTTTAAATTTAGCCTGTCAATTTTTTTGGGCAAAAACAGTTGTAGACTTCAATAAACATATTAGATGAGAAAAAAAAAAACGAGAGAAATTAGGTTATCTGAATACGGGGATTCTTTTTTTTTTTGTTGGCTTCGTTTTTCATTTTAGTTTTATTTTAGAAAAATTATATTCAAATTTTTACAATCAGTTTTTATTAGATTCTTGTTCGGTTTGAATTGAAAAGGGTTTTTTTTCAGTTATTTTGTATTAAATTTTAATTGTATTATTTGGGTTTTGAAAAATACATTCGATTGATACTTATTTTCATATCCCTAACATTTTCATATTCATAAAACATTTTATATTTCGTAAAAAACTTATAAAAATTTCGTCTATTTGATTCAAAAAAAATTGCAAGCATTTCAAAAAAAAATCACGAAATTATATTACTCTACCAAAAAACATAGTAATCCAAACGTACAATAAAAAATCAGGCACTCAGTTTCATTACAAAACTAACAACAATAATAATATGATGATGAGAAAATTTAAAAAAAAATCCTTTACGTTTTTTTTTTTTTACTTTTGCATGAACTTCCTGACTTCCAAGCCGACAGCAACAAGAAACAAGACGGCGACGACAAAACCGTAACCACCGTTCCAAGCGCTTCCGGCTTTGCCCAAATGGATACCGTAGAAGACATTTGCTATTGCCAATATTATCAGAATTCTTCCTACGTTGTGGTGATACCAATTCCAATATCTCCTGTATTTCGATTGCTTATCCGGTCGAGCCAACAACGCCATCACCTGTTTCAGCATCCATCCATATATATCATGATGATGATGATGATGATGATGATGATGATGATATAAGAAGAAGATGAAGGAGAAGAAAACACAGACCTGGAGGCAACCCATGACGAGAATGGTGATACCAAGGCCTTTGTGGGTGGATACAGTACTAGCTTTTGTCCGGTTTTCAAGAACCAAACCGCAGATAACACCGGTTAAACCGAGTAGAAAACCGGTGGTTTGGAGTGCAGTATGGGCGTAGAACCACATAGGGTCCCATCTCTTGAGGTGACGAGCAACTAAGCTGCCGATGACGATGAATATTCCCCACCCGAACATATTCAGCAACCCGTGGGTCTTCCTCAGCCTTGAGTGTGGTTTTGCTTTCACTACCCTTTGCACAGCTTTAAAAGTACAATAAAAAAAAACAATATTATCACTTCATATGTATTGCAAATAATGAGTTTTGGAAAATACTCTAGTGATAATATACTACTACATGTACCCAACGGTTGGATAACTCGATCGGTGAAATGGGATGCAAAACGTCTATACCGTCCCGAGTTCGAATCTCAAGTTGGAGAAAAAAATATAGTTCCAATCACATGGTTTACTTCCGATCCATAAATTAGTCTGAGTTTCGGCCCATGACACCCGATTACCAAAAAAAAATATATATCGCATACATTTTAAATATTAGAGGTGGATACAATCGTACAGATAAATAGCGGCAAAAATTTAGATATCCTAAACGAATCTGAATAAATAGAAAAATCATGACCCATATTTGAAATTAAACAGTTCGAGTATCTATGAACATTGTGATTTTTTTTAAATAAATTTTAATGGTAACTGTAAATAAAAATGAGGGTATTTTGGTAATAAATGTAAATGGTTACTAAATTCGGATATACGTACGGTGTCTAAATCTGAACCTAAATTTGATAATAACGCGTCTTTATTATCCGAATATGAACACCAATTCGGATATCCAAAATTTGGGACGGATTCAAAACAAATTAAGATTAGATTTTGATTTTAGTTTGGTTGTGAAATAAGTGAACTATGATCATTTCGTAATCTATATTCTTTTCATCGTGATTCTCACAATTATGTCAGCACATATAATCCTCCCCCCCCTGAGTTTTAGGATAAAATCAAAATTTATATAAGAAAACGTCAAAAATAATTTTGTTCATGCTAGGTTTATATTCCCCTGTTACACCGCAAGTATGATTTAAAACAAATTTCAAATATTATTTATCACAAATAACTTGAAGATTTGGACTGGGATACTAATATATGCATCATCCTAATTTACTGTAAATTTCCTCTCTATATTTTATTGTTAAAAATCTTCATTTTCTAAAGATATTGCGTATTTATTTCGGTTTCGTTAAATCATATTAATTTAATTTTAAAATTTCATATCAGTTCATTTGTAAATTATATTTAATTCCATTTCGAATATAATATATAGTATTAGATTTATTTGTTTATTAGTAGGCTCCAACATATAACAAGATTAACTTAGTTAGATAACAAAAATGCAAGTAAATAAAATCTCTAGGAATAATTAAACTATAGTTAAGAAGTTAATTGGATGTGCGAATGTAGCAGTTAAACTAATCGATTTGAGTAATCGGGCAGTCGTGCTTGAAACACGTCAGCGCAATTATTTTAAACAATTTATTAAACAAATATTCAATTAATTTTCAAAGAATTAAAAAATATATATATGTGCAAAGGCTGGAAAGCTGCATGTGCTTACCTGTGATATAATTCAAAGACGTTGAGATCATCGTCCGGTGCTCCGTCAAGCTGTAATCCGGCGAAGATGGGAAAGCTCCGGCGCGTCCGAGCGCGTACAGAACCTGCGTCCGCGGCTGCTCCGCCGTTGTCAACTGGAAACTCAGGTACAGGCGCGACGACACGGACTCAATCTTCATCGATCCGTTCACGATCGTCAGTTCTCCCTGGTCAACCACCACCTGGTCCGGCGTTTTCCCGCCGAGAAAGTACTGCTTCACCTCTCCTCTGCCGCCGGACGGAATCCATCCCACGACGGCGCTCGATCCGATCATTTGACCGTTCGTCGAGAACCCGATCGCGATGAACGAGTTCGAATCCGGCGCCGAGAGGACGAAGCTCCATGTGTTCGCATCGGTTCTCGAGTACTGCATACGTGAGATTAGAAATTTCCGTCAATGGAGATGGGATTCAGTTCCTGAGGAATCCGAATTTCGAAATTGTAGAAGTTTGGAGGAATTTCAATTTTCAATCTCCGGTGAACCAAATCGAAGATCCATCGCAACAGATAATACAGTTTTTCCAGATTCAAATTTCAAAATCGGAGGCGAGCTGAGATTCGAGAAAGACTTACACGGAGGATGTAGTTTTGGAGACTCCACACTTCGGCGCACTGGAGGAGGCTCGCATTGAACGAGAGATCGTTGAGAGGTAGCGTCGAACTGCAGGAATCCGAAGGTTGCTGAGCGCTAACTATGGCAGAGAGAGTGAGAAGATGAAGAACGACGAAGCGGAAGATGAACGAAGATGAAGAAACCTTCATCTTCTTCCTCTCTCTCTTTCTCTCTCTCTCTCTCTCTCTTCTTTCTTTCTCTGTCTGAATCTGAATGATGAAAGAGAAAAGAATGTAGTGGAGGGAGCACCATCATCATCATCATCATCATCATCATCGTCATCACGAAGAAGCAGTTGACAACAAGAGAACAAATGGCATTTAATTAATTGTTGAATTAGTTGGGTGATGTATTGTTTTGAACAAAGGGATATTTGTACAATAAGAAACGACATCTATGCGCGCAGTTTTTTTTGTTGGGATATTCAAAAAATGAAACCGGAATTTTTTTCATTAAAATAAATATATTTAATAAAAAATATATAAATTAAATCGAAACGGATTAAAAATAATAATAATAATCAATTGTAATCGAAACCCAATCCAAAATATCATCTATCTGTGATTATTGCAATTTTTTCCCCAAAGTCCAATATGAGGATTCAATATATAGGTTTTGAATGCTGATATAAAATATGCATTTGTGGTCGTTGAAATTTAAAATAATGACACGTTACTTGGTGTGGATTTGAAGTCATAATAATAGAAATTTTTATTAAACAAATTTTCAATCTAAGACTTTATCCTTTGTTTTTTAAACAGAAAAACCCTGCTTAATAAACAATTTCTTTTTTCCATTTTTTAAAAGTTCAATTATTTTAAAGCTTTTAATTTTACAATCTGATCAGTGTAACTAAAAAAACCGAAGAAAGGTTTCACAGTGGAAATGGGAACTGCTTTATTGGTTTTTAACACAATAAAGTTGTAGAAAATGTGATTGATGAAAATATTTTTTTATTTGTGCCTCATGATTATTTTAAAAAAAAATAGTCCTATTTTATCCAAAACGGTTTTTGCTATTCAAAAAGTCATAGTTCATAAAATCTGTTTTTTTTTTTGTATAATTGAGAAATTAAAGTTTTAATTATACAGTTAGCAAATAATACCTTAAAAAAACAAAACTCCCTAGAGTTAATTATCAGAATCACAAATTACATATCCGTAAAATCATAAAATTAAAATTTATTATTAGTTAAAAAATTAAATTGTATTTTACTAACAGGTGTTTGAAGCGGTCAAATGTAATCCGACACACGAAGAGGTTGCACACACGACATAAAGAGAAAGTAAGACCCAACACAACTCAACTACCTCAAAATCAAAATGTTGAAAGAAAAATTCAAATTTACAAAATTCCATCACTAATTTAATATAAAAAAGAAAATCTAATAATATATAATTTAATTTGAATCAAATTAAATTAAACCAAGAAAGACTGAAAACATTTTAAAAAACGAAAATAAAACCAAAAAATCTAACCTAAAAACCCAAATAAATATTATCTTCCAAAATAAAAACTTAATTTAAAATAAAATAAAAATCTAAAACTTGATTCAAAATAATCTTAATCCAAAAATAAATAATCAATTTAAATTTACTCGATAATTGCAAGATACTAATATATTATTACCATCCACATACTTTAGTATTCCTATTTACGCTTTTCTGGTTAACCCCATTATATTTTCTTTTTATTTTTTTTTCTCTGATGATTGATTGATTGATTGTTCTGTTCATCGTCTCTGTAGTTCCTTAGATCTGAAGATTCAATTTTTTGTTTGAGGTTTGCTTGGAGAAGTGGAAAGATCATCGGCGGAGAGTACTGCGATGGATGATTTTCCAGGTCTGTTATCGAGGGATTTCGGATTCAAACCCCAAGGCAGACCTGCTCCGCCGCGAAATTCTCCCGCCGCTGATGACTATGGGTTAAACTTCGGCCTCCGGTCCGATTTCAACCGATCCTCGTCGTCTTCTCGTAGTCGCACGGCGAATCCGTCGCCGGTTTTCGATGATCACGGCGGCGGCGGAGGCGCGGCGGATGACAGCCTCCTCTTCAACGACGTGTTCGGCGGACCGCCGAAATACGCCTCCTCCGAGTCTCAGGCGACGGCATTTGACTACGAAGATGTGTTCAAGGACCAGAACCGATCCAAGTCCTCGTCAATGCCGGTGTACGACAAGCCCGTATTCGACGAGGACGTTTTCGAGGGAATATCGGGGAACAAGAGCGCTTCCACCGTATCATCGACCCAGTACGGGGATGTTTTGGCCTCGGGGTCTCCGCGTAAGCCGAAGAAGCATGACAGCTCGGCTTTTGATGATCTGTTGGGGAAGTTCGGGAGGAAAGACGCAGAAGCGAAGAAGATGGGTGGAGCCATAAATGAGAAGAAAGATTATTCCAACTTCGATGATCTGATCCCCGAATTTGGTCGCAGAAATTTGCACGCTAGCAAAAGGTAATGTTGGTGAGTTATTGCCTATATGTCTCTAAGCATTTTAACTGTTCATGTCTGGTGATCATATCGCCTTAAATGTTTATTTGTAGTTCGTAAGTTTGATTATGAACCTCTATCGGGATTCTTCCATTGGAGAGTTCCTCTGTGTTTTTGTGATGCTATGGATTGCTGGAACATGCCTTTAGATGTGTCTGGGAAACTTGTGTTTTGTCAGCATTTTGGTTGAGGTTAAGGCAATGAAACTTGTAGATTTACAACCCGAGCGACAATGGCCTCGATGTTTTACGTTCTCCATGCGCGAGACAGGAAAATGCTGGTAGTTTCATGGAATTCTGGGGTTGATGTGTTCACCGTGTATTTTCTTACTTGAGAAAAGGGATTGGGGGAAAAATTTTAAGAGGAAAGACCTTTGGTTTTAGGTCACAGACATAACTTTCCAGATTCTCTGTTTATGCCTTTTCAGTCGCTTGCTTTCTTTTTTAGTAGATGCTGACATATGATTGTGTCCATATTGATGAACAGACTGATGCCAGAATTGAAAAAGTCTCAAAATTCCTATCATGATAACACCAAAGTATCTTCCAGTTCGGTCGAAGACCCATTTGAAACACTAGAGTCAACAACAATCCCAGCAGTCTCTTCATCAGGAATTTTCACTGATCCGTTGGAGGATATCGGCAGACAAAGTGGCACCAGGAGCAAAAAAACAGATCACGCTTCTGTCCTAGGTGGAGTGTTTGACGATCTAGATCCACTTGAGAATCATGGGAAATCTAGGCCCGGCCTCAACAGGAGAGGGATGGATACAGCTCCCATGAGAACTGAGAGCACTAACGGTACACAATCACCGGTGAAAAACTCTGCGGGTCAGTGGCAGAAAAGAGATCCTCATCAGTTGCCAGTCAATTTTCCATCAGTGTCTGTTGGTCGAGGTGCTAGTTCGAATGAAGTAAATTCGATGGTGAATCCTACTTCAAGCTCAAGTGGCAAATTTGATTCTTCTGATGACGTGTGGCTTACTGTTTCCGAGGTTCCACTTTTCACACAACCCACCGGGGCTCCACCGCCTTCAAGACCTCCGCCTCCTAGACCAACAAGACCTAAAAGGCCTGGCTCGGGTTCTTTTGCGTCTAGAAATTCAAGACAGACAAAGAATGGGTTTTCATCTTTAGAAAATTCTGCCCATTCTTACAGCCCCACCTCTGCACATCCATCTGGGAGAACCTCTGTCACCTCTCAACTAGATGAACTTGAAGATTTTGCTACTGGCAAGGCTCATGGTAATGCTGAAGAATTTTCTGGTGAAGATTTAGTAAACCCTGCTGCTGCTGCTATGAAGGAGGCTATGGAAAAAGCAGAAGCCAAATTCAGGCATGCCAGGGGGGTGAGGGAAATAGAATATCTCAGGTCAAATAGAAGCAAAGAAACTGTTCAGTCGGAAAAAGATGATTATATAGACAAAGAACACAGGGAAACACAAGAGAGGTTAGATCGTGAAAAAAGACAAGGGCTAAGAGAGGAGGAAGAGAATGAAAAGAGGCGATTAGAGAAAGACCGGGAAGAGAGAGAAAGGGAACAAAGAAGAGCTGAGAGAGAGCGAATTGAGAAGGAGAGGGAACTGGCCAGACAGGCTGTACAAAGGGCTACTAGAGAAGCGCGAGAAAGAGCGGCGGCTGAGGCTCGTGCAAAAGCTCAGAAGGCTGCTGCCGAGGCTCGAGAACGTGCAGAAAAGGCGGCAGTTCAAAGAGTGCAGTCAGAAGCACGCGAAAGAGCTGCAGCAGCGGCAAGGGAAAGGGCAAACGCAGAAGCAAGGGAAAAGGAAACACGGGCTAGCGTGGAACGTGCTGCAGTACAGAGGGCAGCTGCAGAGGCACGTGAAAGGTCAGCATCTCAAGCTCGGGAAAATATGCGAAAGGATGATGACGATCTTGAATCCATCTTTAACAGGGGTTCTAAATCAAGCAGCTCACCAAGGCCGAGGGGCAATTTTACTGTAAGCAGAAAGGATTTTGTTAATCAGTTGCCCTCCACATTTTAGACATTTTCTTAGTTTTTATGTTTCTGTCCTGTAGGATCCCCTATTTGACACGCAGAACCAGAGAGGGCATCCTGATTCGTCCAGAACATCTGGTGGAACCTCAACGAGCAAGCAGAAAACATCTTCTTCAGCCAATTTTGTTGATGACCTTAGTTCAATTTTTGGAGGTAAATCCAATGTGGCCTTTGTCTAGGCAGTCATCTCTCTTCTTTCTGTCTTTTCGGTGATTAGTTGACACCTACTCTCTTTGGTAAAAGCAGCTGCTCCGTCATCTGACGAGTTCCGAGAAATCAATGGAGAAACTGAAGAGAGAAGAAGAGCTAGGTTTGACCGCGAACAGAGGACAAAGGAACGAGCTGTAAGTATATGATATTATACATCTGTTGGAACCTCTTTTCTTGTACAAAGGATTGAAGCAAATCATATTAACCATATCTTGAATTGCTAGCTGTGCCTCGTTTTTTTCTACTCCAACATGGCAAGTTTGATTTTTTTTTTTGGTTCAGGCAAAAGCATTGGCGGAGAAAAACGAGCGCGATCTTCAAGCACAGAGAGAACAAGCAGAGAAAAATGTATGTATTTACATCATAGTTGCTGTTCAGTGATTTGCAAAATTCTTCTGTTATCTTAATACTGATTTCTCCTGTTATTTTCAGAGAATTGCTGAAACTCTGGATATGGAGATAAAGCGTTGGGCTGCAGGGAAGGAAGGAAATCTGCGTGCTCTTCTATCAACACTCCAATACGTAAGCTTCATTCTTCTCGCTCGAATCTCAGTAGCAAACGGTCGTTCTTATTTGTTATATGTGCATACACTTATATACGCGCGTGCATATAGGTGCTATGGCCGGATTGCGGGTGGCAGCCCGTGTCTTTAACCGATCTGATAACCGCTGCAATGGTGAAGAAAGTTTACCGGAAGGCAACATTGTGCATTCACCCCGATAAGGTGCAACAGAAAGGCGCTAATCTTCAGCAGAAGTACATAGCCGAGAAAGTGTTTGATCTGCTCAAGGTACAGTGAAATCAAATATTTGTGTTCTAACATAAGATTTTGCGGCTTTTCACTTGCATCATCGGCCTACTGTTCGAATAAAACAGGAAGCATGGAACAAGTTCAACTCTGAGGAGCTCTTTTAAAAGCTTTTCTCCGACTGCATATCCGTCGCCACAGAGATCGTAGCTTATAAACCGATTCCCCAAAACGTTTACCTTCCCGGGATTTCCTTTCGGGTTTTCCCCCGCGATTCTGCGGGAAGTTTCGTGGGGGATAGAGCCGAGGTGACGCACCAGCTGGAGAAAAAGGTTCATTCTTTATACTCACTTCCCTGATACACACAACCTCAGCTCATTAGCAATAGGGGGTGAAGTAAATTTTTTGGTTCCAAAATAATTCTTTTGGGTCTGAATGATTCTTTGGGGGATGAGGAATTGGGAAATATCAGCAAAAATTTAACATTATGCATTTTGATTACAAAAAAAAAAAAAAAAAGCGTCGTGGACCGACCGAGCACTCATTGCTTATGCTCTGTATTGTTTTTATTTCTAAGTGTTGAATAAATGTGAATTACTCATTGTTTCATCAAAGGCGCCACATGATCTGAAACTGAAAGCCGTCATAAACAGTTGCATTTGTTTCTATTGGAATGCAAATCCGGTTAGTGTGAATTGGTTTGGTTTAATTTGGTTTCAATTGTATATATATTTATCAAATAGAAATATTTATATAATTCCAAGTAGATTAAATGAAACACGACCCTCTGATTCACTCAGAAGCTATAGTTTTTCTTTTCTCGTTAATTACGAACGTGACAAAAATGCAAACGACGACTCCGTAGCGGGAAATACGCCACGTGGAGGAGAGAGTCTGACGTGGCAAATAACGAGAACCAAAACAAAAATCTCTTATCCAGTTGCCATATGGACATTATCCTGTTGGTGAATCAGATACTGACCAATCTGAGCAAAAGCCACTTGGAATACCCCCTTGTGGCGCTTATTCTTCCCTCCACTCTCTTCGAGTACCGATCGATCAACTCTCACTTAACAAAGACCAGAGGAGCAAATTAAGGAACCTGAAACAATGGCGGCACAAGCACTTGTGTCTTCTTCGCTTAGCTCTTCTGTAGAGACAGCGAGACAGATTCTCGGCGCCAGACCGGTCGCTGTCGTGGCTCCGAAGAAGGGTTCCTTAATTAGTTGTTAGGGCTTCTTCATCTCCTCCTGTCAAGGTACATATATATGTATATCGATCTCGATCAAGAGTATATGTCTGTGTGTGAAGTTTATAAGAATCTGACCATGTGTTTTGTGCTTTCTTTGGATCTCAGCAAGGAGCAGACGGACAATTGTGGTTTGCGTCCAAGCAATCTCTTTCTTACTTGGACGGGAGGTAAGCTTGTTTAGACATAGCTTAGAGCGAACAATACTCCGGCCGTTATATATCCGATATGATCCATTAACGGACATGGAAATTTTTTCTTTTAATTCACAGCTTGCCAGGCGATTACGGGTTTGACCCTCTTGGCCTTTCGGACCCGGAAGGCACCGGAGGGTTCATCGAGCCTAGATGGTTAGCCTACGGAGAAATCATCAACGGCCGATTCGCCATGCTGGGCGCAGCTGGAGCCATAGCCCCCGAGATTCTAGGCAAGGCCGGTCAAAACCGGTGTGATCCCACCGGCCGGAACGTACAGCTACTGGGCCGACCCTTACACGCTGTTCGTCCTGGAGATGGCCCTGATGGGGTTTGCAGAGAACAGGAGGTTCCAGGACTGGGCCAAGCCGGGTTCGATGGGGAAACAATACTTCTTGGGATTGGATAAGGGTTTGGGCGGGTCGGGTGACCCGGCTTACCCGGGAGGACCGTTCCTTAACCCGCTACGGTTCGGGAAAGACGAGAAGTCGATGAAGGAACTGAAACTGAAGGAGGTCAAGAACGGTAGACTGGCAATGTTGGCCATCCTGGGTTACTTCGTGCAGGGGCTAGTGACCGGTGTCGGACCTTATCAGAACCTTCTGGATCACTTGGCGGATCCTGTCAACAACAACATCTTGACCAGCCTCAAGTTCCACTGAGATGATATTCCTCTTTTTATCCTGCCGTACGTGTATGTTCTTTCTTGGTACCATCGGTTTCTTCTTTCTCATGCATGTGTAAACATATATATATATTCATGTTTCCCAAGTAATTATTGTTATAATAACATAAATTGTTACTGGATTGGACATATATAATATGGTTGTCAATTATAGACCATAGGTTTAGGGTTTTTGGTTTAGGGTTTAGGGTTTAGAGAGCTTTGTTACAAGTTCCAAAGATATGGAACACAATCCATGAAACCAAATATTTTTAGATATCTCAATAAGTTTTAATCAATAGAAATAGAATTTGAAATCAGCGTGAATTCAAAACAAAAACTGAATTAAAATTGATTTTTTTTTTTTTTTTTTACTTTGTGGGTATATAGTTAGTAATATTATAAGTGATTGATTAATTGGTCGGTCAGAGATACATTAAACAAATCCAAGCAGGAGACAAAAACATCAAATCCACTAATGTTTTTGTGTTTTGGAATTGTTAATATTATCTCTTTTTATCTTAGCCTTTCATTACCTCAAAAGATGCTGGCTTGTTTTATAATATCTTTCCTAAGATATCATATGATATTAGGCTTAGCATAATTTATATTTGGTTCCCTCCCTCGGTGGGTCTTCTTTTATTCACACATTAGATTGACCATCTTTTTTTTTTTTTTTGTAAAAGTAGTTTGTGAATTCCATTTTGCCAATTTATATCAATTTTGTAATTGCTATTTTAATCAACACTAGTGTTGGGAAATGGAAAGAAATCTATAATAATATTTGGAATTAATGGCGTTGCAGATAATTTGGAGCATCATGGGATTTATTACACAATTTCTTTTTAAGGGTTTTATAACTCTTAATCAAGATTTAAACGACCCATGTTAGTTGTCCCAAGACGAAGTGGAAAAACATTGATTTGTTTGGTTAGATTCCATTCCATCCCTGGATTTTCATTTCCATTTCATTAAATTTTGATTCAGTTTTTCATTTAAAAAATTATTAAAAAAATCATTTAATTCGATTACTTTTTTTTTTAATTTCCAAATCCAAATAAACTCATCGCAAACCCCCCTCCACCCGAAATAACTGTATTTTCTATTTTGAATCGATTTATATTTATATTTATATTTATATTTATAAACGAAGTTTTCATGTGGACAATCATGTGTTAATTACATTTTCCAAAGAGTTGGTTTGTTTCATCACTTTTGCCGAACATGCAGAACGAGAAAAAAAAACTATATTATATATATATATATATTCGAAAAATTTTCCGGATATTAAATTTATATGGCTAATAATGTTATATAATTTTATTTTATTACAGAGAATAAATATGTCATATTATATATATATACATATACACACAGCCAAGTTTTCGTAGATATTTTGCGTAGATATTTGACCAAAGGCCTAAATATCTGAGAGTGTTCTGATAGGGCCATAAAGCTTTGAAAAGTGATCTCACGCGTCGCCATGAGAACGAAAAACATCCAGCTGGTTATTCCACAGCGCGAGTACATTGTTTTTGTACACGCAGGCGCGTGGGTAACAGACCTTTCGCAATGCCGTATCTGTGGGGTCCAAAAGGATTTTTTGCCTTTCACTATAATTAGTGCCGGGCCCCGCACTGTCCCACGACCCAACCTCTGCACTTTTTCCCATTTGTTTATTTTATTTATTTCCCTTTTTTCTCTCTCTCCTTTTTTTATCAGCTTATGTCACATGCCTACATGTCCCTTTTTGCCTACACACCCACCCATTGTCTATCCATCCATCCATCCATCCGTCTTTTCCATCTGTCGCATGAGATATTTTTTCTTGTGCAAGCAAAGTTTCTCTAGGGCTCTGTTGCTGTTTCTGTTTTCTGAAGTTCTGGGTTTAAGTCAAGGATCCCCAAAGGTGAGTTCTTTTAACCCTCTTTATTGTTCTTGCCTTGCTTGTTCATTGGACTGTAATAATTGCGTTTTCTCGCTGTTTCTTGATCAAGTCTTGGTTATGGAAATGGATCTCAGCTGCTCTTTCCTCTTCTGAGTTTTGCTTCCTCTCTCTCTCCCCTTTTGTGTGATCAACGATTTTCCTCGGGAATTGTGAATTTTCTGTTCGATTCCTTTCTTACAAGGAAAAAGGAGCAGTAGGTATTGCTTGAGCTTGCTGTCTGAATTTACCCTTTTTTTTTTTAAGATTTGTATGAATTCTCGGATACCCTTTTAAAGCTTCTGTCAGATTTGTTAGCTTTTTAATGAGAATCTCTTGCAGATTTCTTTTCCTTTTTCTCCTGCTGCTTCGTTTGCTAAATCCTACACCTGGTTATGGAAATCAAACCCAAATTGAGAAAAAGTCAAATGATTGGATCTTTTTCTTCTTTTGGAATCAACTCCTGGAGCTTTCACACAGAGAACTTATTGGAAGTAGATAAAAACCCAACTAACTATATAAGATTTCTTACACGGTGCTTCCAAAGATTGCGGGACTAACACATTTGGTGGATTCTTGACAGTAAAGGAGGCTCCTTTCTTCAGCCCATATACACATTTTGAGCAGATCATAAGATTGGTGAAGAAAAAGATAAGATATGGGTTATATGTGTGATTTCTGCGGCGAACAGAGGTCAATGGTGTATTGCCGGTCTGATGCTGCGTGTTTGTGCCTGTCCTGTGACCGAAACGTTCACTCGGCCAACGCGTTATCGAAACGACATTCTCGTACGCTTGTCTGCGAGAAGTGCAATTCACAGCCTGCATCGGTCAGGTGTACGGAAGAGAGGGTCTCCCTCTGTCAGAACTGCGATTGGTCTGTCCATGGCGGCGCTTCTAATCCTTCTTCTGCTCATCACAAAAGGCAGAACGTCAACTGTTATTCGGGTTGTCCTTCCAGTGAAGAGTTTGCCTCTATCTGGTCTTTTGTCTCGGATCTCTCTTCAGCCGGCCAGTCCGTGTGCGAAGAAGAAATGGCTCTGATGAGTATAACCGACGACGGCCCGAGAGAAAACTCCACTACCCGAGACGCTGATGCGGACCAGGGAGATGGATTGCCCGAAACCAGCTCTGCAGCGCATCGTATGGATCCTCCCCGTTTACCGGCAAGTTCAAGATTGGCAAAGGTAAACATAGTTATCTACGTATTTGATCTCATCCGGCTGCCATGGCAGAGCTGCCCTCCGTATGTTTATTTAGGACATCGAATATTTGTCTGAATCGAGGTTGTCTTGCTTTTCGGTTGAAGGGTCTCGGAGCATGTGATGACGATTTCTACGGGGACCTCATTATGGATGAAGTCGACTTGGCCCTCGAGAACTATGAAGAACTCTTTGGTGTAGCCTTCAACTCCCCGGAAGATCTCTTTGAAAACGGTGGTCTCCACAATCTGTTTGAGAAGCGCGACCTACCTTCTGCTGCTCCCGAGGTCTTTTTCTCATCTTCTTACGAGTTTATAGCCGAGAAAACGAGTTACGATTTGGGATTTTTATGCTTGTTTACTCAATTCAGGGCTCATCCGCTGGTTTAGGCAACGGGACGATGCTGTCGGCCGGAAGCAATGCCGCATCTGCAGATTCTTTCATGAGTGCTAAAACTGATTCAATAATTTGCTTCACGGAAGAAAACAATGTCGGGGATCACCAAGAATGCGAGGCATCATCGTGTGTCCGCCTCTCGGCAGCTCAGGACATTGTTTCCTCGCAAGCAGCAAGCCGTAGCGACGCGGTTATGCGTTACATGGAGAAGAAGAAGTCCCGGAAGTAAGTAAAAGGTTCTTCAATTCATAACCGATGAAGGGTCGGTCTGACCATTCATTTTTTGCGGGGTGAAACAGGTTCGAGAAGCGAGTGAGGTATGCATCACGAAAGGCGAGAGCCGATGTGAGACGACGGGTGAAAGGACGGTTCATCAAAGCGGGCGATACTTACGACTACGACCCGCTCTGCCAAACTAGAAGCTACTGAGATCGAGACAAAAAAAAAGGAACCGGTGAAAGATCAAGCCAAAGTTCCAAAATGCTGTGTCTGAAAGTTCTGAGTTTTGAAGCTGCTTCGAAAGAAAGCAACTTCGGCATTGAAGAGGTCAAGTTTGATTCTCTAAGCCATCATCATTCATTATTACATGCACCAGTTTTGGCCTTAAAAGCTTCACTACTCTTTCATCATCCTCATCAGAGAGACCATGCTCTGATCTCTTTGCATCAAACTTATATTCTTCGTCGGCCGGTCTTTCAGCTGAGAGAAAAGGCTTCCTATTTGTAATCTCTATCAAAATAATCTGCAGATCGAACCAGGGTTCGATGAATTTTGTTCTCTCTTATAGACATAAGCAGATGCTTAGGACAAGAAAACAATGCTTTGTATATGTTATACAATTTGTATGTATATTCATATGACTCTGGGTTTGCACTCAGGCAGTGGGATGAAAATCAATTATGGGACGCATGACAGTGATTTTCCTCTTCAAAAGAATGCTTTCCATCATCTATTGATGCCTATGTCGTAAAAATGGGGAAACCTAAGATTTGGTCCTATTTGCCGGCAGACAAAAACCAGTTACCATTGGTCGAAGCTCTCTCAATGTTTGCTTAGTCTCCAGAAATACTATCAAACTCATCAGCTCGGGATATCCTGCAGGAACATTGGGAACTGAGTACATCACAAAGTGAAACGAGAAGCTAACATGGGCATGTGATAGTATTTCTGGAGAAGGGTAAGTTGCAGAAACGAGAGACGGCTAGGCGAAGCGAAGAGGAGTGATAACCTGTTTTTTATCCCAATCCTTCAGCTTCGGGTTAGCCAACATGTAGTTATCGCGCAGAGGAGCCCAAGCAGGAGCTTCATCACCGATGGAATTAGGAGATTTGGCCTTGGCCTTGGCCTCGACCTCTGCTCTTGATGGCTTCCCCAACTCTGAGAAGAATGCTTCTTTTCTTCGCTTCCTTATTACTGGTGGAAATTTCGACAGAAATAAAAACCAGACAAGCATGGCAAAAGGAGTGAGAGCATACGAACAAGGGTAAAACTGCAAAGTTGAATAGCATCAAACCGATGATAGAGTTTATAAATAAACAAGAGACAAAGAAGAAGAGGAGATAAGATAGTACCAAAGATGAATGATATTCAAGGAATCAAGGGTGATACCTTTAATGTCTTTTGACCTCGAAAGATTCAGACCCTTCTGAGCATGTTGAGCCTTGTTTACCTGTAGAGAGACCGAGATTTCAAATGAGAGAATCGTTTGGTTACCCCCAGAGTGAAAACTAGCTAGACAGGACAGAAGTAAAAAAAAAAAACAGTGCCAAAGGGAATGAGAAGGAACTTACAGCATTAAATAGTTTGACCACTGCGATTCCCAGGAATTCATGGAGAAAAGCTGAGTAAGTATATAAGCAAATACAAAACAATCCGAAAGAGCGGATCATTAGTAGGTATACCTCCTTTGGTAGCAACACCGATTAGAAACTTTTCATGCGAATCCAGATAATTAGCTGGCTTAACATGTCCTTTCTCTGCAACCTATTAGATTTAGCAAAAAATCGTCAAAGATATAAACCAAGGTGAGCCATGAGACCATAAAAAGGACACAGATGGATATGCAACTACACTACACATATCAAAACCAAATGCGGAGAACAAAAAGTTATTCGATTTAGCATACCAAATGTTTTTCTCTTTTGGCCTGACCCTTAACTTTCCTTTCAGCCTCCTCTTCAGCCAGCTTCTTCGCAACAAGATGCTTCTTTGCTGATAGAATCGGGCCCTGTAGAGCAATCAATATCCACTCTCAATCCTGTATAACTCAGGAGTAGAAAAGAAAATCAAATCAGCTTAATTTGCTCACCAATGTATCATCTTCTTTGCCCTTCTTCATGATTGCCCTGAACGCGATTCTGAATCCCTTGCATCCTTCAGCTAACCTGGTGATTCCACGCTGAATTTCCTCATTTTCTCCATCTTCGGAATCTTCATCGCCCGAGCCTTTGTCTTTACCGTTCACTTTCTCTTCATCGCCTGAAGAATCCCCAGTTTCCTCCTCCATCTCATCATCAGAAAACTTATTTCCACCGATCACATTAGGGTTTGTCGCTTCAACCTCATCATTGTCATCATCATCTGAATTGTAGTCTCGTGCCCTCTTTTGAAACAGCTTCTTCATCTTCTTTGTGATCTTAACCTTCTCAGCAGAGCCTGGTAATGCCTTTAACTTCTTCGCCTTTCCGCCCTTCTTTTTCCCCACTCTCCGCTTTCTCGCACCTCTCTCCGCCATCGACAGACCAGCTTCCTCGCCGGCAGACATGTTTACCTATTAACACTAAAAACCCTTTCATTTGTTACATGACGAGAACTCTAAAACCCTAGCATTGTTCGTCATTACTTTCCAAGTGAAAGAGCGAAAGCAGTTCCTCCACAAAACCCCAATAAATATAACCCTAGAAATACGTAAATCTTCTCCGATTCTGAATGGTTTCAGCTCCTGAAAAAGCTCGAATTCGCAAAAGATAACCACCCAAACACAACCAGAAGAAGAAGAGATTATGCAGGCGTACCTTTCAAATGCTTGTTTCTCCACTAAGAAGCGACGGATTCTCTCCGGACCAAAATCACGGAGTATTCTATAATCTATACACGGCTGCTTCAAGCAACGGGTTTTTTACCCAAATAACCAAGTGGTCGCATCTGAACACCACCGAAAATATAACACATTTTTTTCTGTGCGGAAAGACGAAATTACCCTTAATGAATTACGATATTTATCAGTTCAAAAACAACTTCGTTATTACGACTTCGTAATTAAGTCTAAATATAGTTACAATTGATTCTAAAAAAGGTGACAAAAAATCATTTGTCTTATTTTTAGTTGTATATCAGTTATATATGTTAGTCGTAATAAAATCGTAAAAAATAAAACGAAAAGGTTATTTCAGACTTTTCCCACCGAAAAGTGGGTTAAAATTGAAATTTTTTTTTTTTGGTGGTGTACACTGAAATAGATGCGACCCAAGTGGGTTATTTGGGTGATTTTCCCTCAAGCAACTTTCTCTTGCTGGAGGGAACGGGAATTTTACTCAAATGACCGACTTCGGTAGCACCTATTTCACGTGTACACCAGAAAAAACATAACACTTTTTTTTCGTGTGAAAAGACGAAATTACCCTTAATGAATACGCGATTTTTATCCGTTCGAAAACAACTTCGTAATTAATTCTAAATATAGTTACAATTGATTCTAAAAAAGGTGGCAAAAAAATCATCTGTCTTATTTTAGTGGTATATCAGTTATATGTTAGTCGTAATAAGGTCGCAAAAAATAAAACGAAAAGGGTATTTCGGACTTTTCTAACCAAAAATGGGTTAAAATTGAAATTTTTTTTTTTTCAGTGGTGTACACTGAAATTGCTGCGACCCAAGTGGGTTATTTAAGTAATATTCCCGGAGGGAACTCAGCTCAAAGAAAGGAAAAGAAAGGAAATACTGGATTGGGGCGTGAAGACTGAAGAGGATATGAAATCTTATTGGGCTCTGATATTTGGGCCTTAATGGGGATTGGGCCCATTATGCGTGACAACATGTATTATACTAGGGTGGGCAATTCGGCAATTCGGTTCGGGAATCTGGTCTCAAACCGTACCGAATCGATTAATTCGATTTCGATTCAGTTCGGTATTATATAAAAATACCGAACAATACGAAATTTGAAATGCCGAATGATTCGGTTCGGTTCGGGAAATACCGGACGGTATTTCGGTATTTTTATTTTTTAATTAAAAAATATTTAATATTAATAGTTAATTATGATATTTATTAATATTAAGAGTTTGTTTGCGTAATGCGTTGAGATTAATGTTGAATTTTTTCCAAATTTACAAGTTCAAAACTTTTATTTTGTTGTATAAAATTATTATGTTAGATCTCTTTACTTTTATATTATAAGAATTATAAATATATCATGAACCGTCCCGAATCGTTTTTATTTCGGTTCTTATTTGGTACTTATTTATTAGTACCGTACCGTCATAATAACGAACCGAACCGAATAATACACGATACAAATTTGATACAAATTTTATAATACTAAATAAACCGTTAAAATTCTGAACCGAATCCCGAAACGTCCACCCCTATATTATACCATATGGTTCTTTCAAACGTGTCGTACACGGCAACAGAGAGAAAAATGGCATATTAATAACCTTGTAAGAAAAACCTCAGTAAATACACACTAATTTTAAAATTCTTAGATAAATATAAGAAATATCTAAATCTAGAATTTGCTATTTTTGGTTAGGGAAGTAAGACATGCAAATTACGTGCTTAGTTAATGAGAAAAAATTTGGAATAGATCTTAACACACACACATATATATACACACACACACGCAAAACTACGCAAGGAACCAATACCGTCAAAGGAAACAGTAACTGCAACTCAACTGTTACAAGTTCATAAACATATAACATCACATTACACATCGCCATTATCACATAACATAATAACACCATGGCATCATCATTTCCTTTTCTTTTCTTTTTTTTTTTTTGCTGAAAAAATATTCACTTTATACATTGCAAAAAAAAAAAAAAAAAAAAAAGGCAAAAATGGAGTAGACCCAAAGAAAACAAAAAGATGGGCGAATCAGAAATTTCTTCTCACACACACACATATATATATATATATAACTTACCCTACGAGAGAAAAAAAAAACAAAACAAAATCCCCCAATAGCCAAAGAATCCAACACCCATATTTGTCCGAAAGAGTTCTTGTTTTGTTCCGAGACTATGAAAAGTACAAAAATATCGAATAGATAGGACACGAATGGTACCTTCCCTAAGCTTTTTTTTTTTTTGGTGGTCGTCTGTTGCTTTTTGTTCGTGCCCTTCTTCTTCTTCTTCTTCTTCTTCTTCTTCTTCTCATCCGATACCTTCTTCTTCGATCCACGACCACGGGGCCACACTTCCTCTATAGTTTGTTAAAAGGCACACACACAGAACTCAACCCTTCTCCCCCAGCTCCTCATCCAGATTTTGGAACTTCCCCCCAAAAACAATCCACAAGATTTGGATTTTGAAAACCTGTCTCATTCATAAGCATTCACCCTTCACTCCTCTGTTGTGTCAGTAATTACTTGACCAGTTCATCTGGGTCTGCTGAGGCTGTTGGAACACATTCGCCCCCACCTGTGCCACCACATCAGGTCCGGCCACTGCCTGAGACTGCTGCAAGAGCGCCTGTGCAGGGTGGTGATACATACCGGGAAAGGTGACATGACCAGCTTGTGTCGGTGCATAAGTCATGTGCTGGCCCTGGTGCTGCTGTAGATTGTAGAAAGCGTTTGCTGGCAGGTTAGACACATCGCGACCACCCGTGATCCACACAGGCAAAACGTCACTCTGCCGACAAGCAAACTCATCTGTTAGAAAATGGTCTTATTGATTTCATCACATATCTATCTTCCATTGAGTTTTATGGAAGAAAAAGGCATCAAACCTGCTGCTGTCCCGTGGTGTAGCCATTGGTATCCTTCAACTGAGATGTATTATGATCCTCATTAGCAGTTGAGTGCCCAGCTGACGCAGCAGAACTGGGAGCATAACCAGCTGGGAAGGAGCCATATGGTCCATAACCACTGTGCATACTTCCTGCATTAGTCCCAGTCTTGTATTGTGGAAGCGAGTACTTGCCTCCCATTGAATTTGAAGCTCCAGGGGGTGGAGCCGGATATACACCGCTTGCTTGAGGTTGCTGCCCAAATGCACCATTGCTTAAGAACTGGGGGACAGCTGGCGGCGGGACATAGAATGGAGAGAAGTAGTGTCCATACGGCAGGTAGTTCTGAGGATAGTGCGACATATGCATGCTAGGAGGACGGAAAACCGGGAGAGGTTGCTGAGCGACAGGTATGGAGTTCTGCATCAGCCCGGCAGCTTGAGTTACAAGTGGAGTTTGACTAGCAGTGGACATAACTAAGTTGTTTCCACCCTGCAAAAACATAACACATAAGCATCGCAGAATCAGACGTGCGTATCTTCGTATTAAGAAAAATGGGGAAACAGCTGTTGGTAACAAGCCTAGATAAGACCCACGGGCAATGGTACGTTATAAAGCATTAATGCTTCCAGAAGCATCTTAGGCAAATTAAAATCACTTAGGAACAAAACAGCATGTGAATGTGTTACAAACTATATTCGCCCATGAAACTGCACAAACCTCTTGCAGAGATTGAGATGAATGTGGAGGCAATACTGTAACATTGCCATTGAATTTGGTGGTTACCCCTGGGGAAACAAAAGGAGAAACACGTCCATCGCGGTCTGAGCTTGAACGATAGAACTGAGCATAGTAACTAGCTGGATCAAATGGTTGTTGGACCTACAACCAAGGAAAGGACAGTAATTAGGTTGGAAGATAAGCTAGCGAGATGGTGCATATGCTAAAGTTGCGATAAATATGTATCAAGAACAACAAAAACTTCCTTTTCGATGAAAATTAAATTCTCGCCATAAGATATAATTTCAAGCAATTAGCTTACGATATTAGTTTACAAAATATTTGTTAAAATAGTTGGAAGGCCTACCACAAAGCTTGGAACAGAGAAAGCATCGCGTGCTTGAGGGTCAGTGTGCTCAAACTGCGGAAGATGGCTCCCAAGTGCTGGAGGAAGAACACCAATACCAAAATTGTCAGATGAGTTCTGATTGTTCTCAGACTCCAAAGTACTCTCTTGATTGGAATCATTGTGTTCTGCTCCAGAATCCGCTGAGATAACACCATCACCAGCCAAATCATCTTGACTATCCCCTTCCTTTTCCGTCGCTGATGCATTCTGGTTGCTGGGTTCAAAAGAAAAATCAGTTTGCGCACTAGTTATATTGACATGATCATAGTTCGGCAGAGAAAGATCCTAGAGAGGATATGACATGGGATAAATATGTTCCGAGAATCTGAATTGCAATGGTTAGAACTAAAAAAGTTGAGTTCCAAGTATTTCATAGTGGCGTGAACATTATGTCTCCAGGAAAGCATTGCTGCTAAACATAAATTAAATCATCATGACACACATGCTTTGCAAACGTTTTTGTTTTCTTACCCTGATCTGAGAGAAGCAGGATTAGGTGCTGGACAGAGGAAATAAAACTGCAGTTGGAAATACTAGGGAAATCTACATCCTAAAGTACAAACTGAACAAGACGCTTTTTCTATTATACCCTGCATCTAAAGTACAAAATATTCTCTGCAGAATATGTATGTAAAAGGAATCTGGACTAGAATAAATCTCTACAAGCTTCATTGCAATTAAATAAAAAAGGGTTATAACTTAGAACGTAATTAAACTCACAGCAACATCAAAAAGAATTGAAGTAGAAAGTCTAGGGATAGCTATATACCTGAATGTATCCTCTTCGAGACTTCCTTCAGCATCATGCGAAATCTCAGAGAGAGGGGTTGAGCTCTTTTCATTCTCTGGACCAGGTACTGTGTTTGATAATAAAGAAAAGCCAGCGTCAAAGCTTCCGAAGCTTAGCTTGGTTCGTTCAGCCTCTGGAACGAGAATATGATTGGGAATGATAACATGCTGACGTTGTTGCATGTGCAAGCCTTCAAGCTGCTTCTGTAGTTTTGATGTTGTCTCTGCCGAAGGAAGAACTTCTTTAACAGATACTTTCTCGATGGGCTCAGCTGGAACTGCGGAACTATCTGATGTAGATGATGCCCCAGAACCCTGGACAGGGTGAAGGTTCACTGGCTTTGGTTTCCATTCCTTGACAGAGCCAGCTACCAGAAAAAGATACCAATAGCATATAAATGTCAGCAGAATACTGTCTTGTATTAATTAAGAAAGAATATATGATGATGAAGAATTATAGCTGCCAAAAGACTTTCCTCTTGAAAGCAACACCTAGCATTTTCATCCTATGCTTAATTTACACACAAGGAATATATTCTAGTCAAGCACATCTTCTGTATCTTTTGTTTAGTTTTCTCAGAAACAAGTATACATTGACAAGTTCAGATTTTCCAGTAAGGAAATCTAAGCGTAGGTGTACAGTTCCATAGGCAATCAAGGAAAAAAAAAACAAGGCTATTTCATAGATAACAAATTCAATAAAAAAAAAAATGCACCACTATTACCTCTTTGATGTCCAATTGGCTGCTGCGACCGATTACTGTAATTGGAAGAAGGCCGACTGCCAGTGCTGTTGCTATGAGCTGATGTAGGCCTGGAGTAATGGGAATCGGAAAGAGCAGTCTTCCCTGCCCCACGGGATCTCCTCGAGTACTTATTTTCTCCAGTGTGCTGTTCTTGAGCTGTTTGTTCACTCCCAAGTATAGGACCTGAAAATGAAAACCGAACTTCAGAAGAGGATGGATGAGGGAGTGGCATAGAGTCAATTTGCTTCTGCCCAGTGGGCATGTGCCCGGAACCAAATGCCACACCTGGATTTTTGGTCAATTCAACAGAAGGTGGTGCATCATCCAGTTTGTTTGCCGAGACAGAAGATCCCATAACTTTAGGTTGTCCCAAACTAGCTGGAGGGTTGGAGGCATTTAGAACATCGGAGGGTAAACCAGTTGAACCATTGTCCAAAATAGCTGGAAAACTGCCAAATATTCAAAGAAGTAAACGAGAATTATGCAAATGGAATATTATGTAATAATGTAATGTAAAATATTAAATATCCCATATAGAAAGGAAACAGCCAACCCCCTGCTTCACCATGGATGTTATGTTATATATTAACCTGTATGCAAGATAAAGACAATGGAAATGATGCAGGGTATATATGATAATAAAATAGTGCTTACCTAGAACTAGAAGTATCCTCTTTGTTTTTTGTCTCCTGAGAGGCTGATGTGGATGGATCAGTGACTTGCTTCGAACCATTTTCCTTTTTGAAAGAATTCTTTAAGCTGCCACCATCTGATCATATATAAATATTTAACACACTCAGCTATAAAAGCTAAACCCATTCACAGTAACAAAAGCTACAATCATGGACAGCCTCCAGAATACTTTCTATATACACAGACTTTGACATGATAAACCAAAAACCAATCATCATTACATATATAGCATAACCAATGCAGGAACACAAGCAAAAAGGCTTTACTAAAGACTGATCGGGTGAATATTACAAACAGGATTATCATAGCAAACTACAAAAGCTGAACGGAGAAATCAACACCATATATCAAGATTGAAGCAAAAATCCGGATACATTGCAGTAACAGATCTGGTTGTTTACCATGGGTCGTATGGCGAGAAGAGAAATTAACTCGGCCACCCCTGTTCCCACGGCCCTGGCCGCTAGATCTCCATTGAGGGTCCACATAATCCTTGTTGCTAAGGATCTGTAACACCATCAAGAAGAAGTGATATTAGAATTCAAGCTGCAGTGTGAATCTGCATATCACAATCTTTGCGATCCACTGTGTACAAGACATATTTTAAAGAGACAACCAAGTTGATGAACATAACTGAAAGCAATCTATACCTCTTTTCTCTTGTCACGCTTCCTCTTAACCTCATGAAAAGGGTCTGTTGAACCATACAACAATCTTTGTATTAGCTCAGAAACAAAGTGCATAGAATAAAAATCTGTTCCCACACAAAATCTAAAACCAAAGAAAAATCACAACCATCCACCTCAAATCACATTATACAATTGATATGAAGCCATAGGCTATATGCAGCTTCCCAAAAATTCCGACACAAACAAGCCCAGAAACAATATTAACCTTAACACACAACCTTAGACAACTGTGAATTCAAGAACAGGGTAAATGTAGCTTAAGTCAGATCCAACTACAAGAATGGCCCAGTGAATTAAAATTCTACAAACAACGGATTCTTCCTCGGTGAGAAAGCATCAAGCTTTGGTTACCACGCACAGCTAAAATATCTCCCTCAGGAATTAATGACTTTCTTACACTATAGGGACAGGCAAACAACTCGGGAAACCTTCACTTAGAAGCTAGTTGCTATTGCTTCTAAGTGATTGACTCCTGAATAATAATGATGATCTAATCAACCCCTTAACTTTTACAGGGAAAAAAACGATTAACACGAGATTCAACAAAAAAAAATGGATAACTTTTTATTTTCCCGGAAATTTCAACAGGAGATAAAAGGTAATCATATCAAAACCTAAGGAATTCACGCGAAAGTACAAAACAAAAAACGAGGAAAACGGAAACAAGATGAATCAAATGCTAAGCTAAGTGAAAACCCACATGGAATCGAAATCAACAATCAAATCATGGATCGATTCTAGCAAATCGGGCATCAAACAAGACCTAGAATTGGAGAACCAAAGTGAAGCAAAAAGAAACGCAATACGATTATACCCTGGAGGAGGAGGCGCTGAGCGGTCTCGTCAGGATCCATGTCGCATTCATGGAGCATTGCGAGAATCTCCTCCTCGCTGTAGTTCCCAGCCGTGATCTCCTTGATGCTCTGGATCATCTTCTTCGCACTCGCCGGAATCGAAACCCTAGTCCCGCCGCCGACCATCTTCTTCAAACGTCTCTATCTCTTCGCCTCTGCTTTGCCCGAATCAAATCTGGGACAAGACCCAGAGCCTGAAAGTACGTATATACGTATGTATACGAATACGTGAGTTTATGTATCACGACGAAAGCAACAGGACGGCACGAGAAGATGAGATTCAAAGCAACTGCTTCTCTGTGGATTTATCAAATCATGATCCAAATAGGAGCGAAGACGACGACGACGACGTGAAGAAGAAGAAGCAGAGAGAGGGAAAAGGGGACGAGAGAGGAAAGGAGCAATACGCAGTGGGATTTTGGAAGCGTAGGGCTTTTTCCCCGTCCCTTTTGTTTGCCTTTTGCCCTCTTTTCCGATTTTCAACTCCTTTAATTTGATTTTTTTTTTCAAAATATATAATATAGATTTACGATTTATTTTATGGTTTTAATGTTTTAACATCTCGTTCAAAATCAAATTTGAAAGATCCGTACAAAATTATATCTTATTGGTTATTGCGCATGCATAAATCTATTTTTATTGAAGAAATAAAATCTACAATGCATTAATCGTTTTTATACAAAAAAATATTATTAAAAGAGTTATTACATTCAAAATTTATTATAATTTGGTTTCGGTTGAGTTTGTTAATCATACGATATTTAATGTTCTAAAATCGGCCAGTGTTATTTATTGGGGGCATTATCAAAAATACCCTTAAAATGCTACTTCTACTTCAAGACCTACCCTGGTCACATGTGACCAATGTGACCGAAATATAGTATGGTCACATTTTGATTTTTATCGATTATAACGTTAAATTTATGGTGATCACACTAATTCATTATGTTCATACCTTGTATATCTTACTAATCATTTGATTAAAACATCATAAATTTAACGTTATGAACAATGAGATCAATATGTGACCACACTATATTTCGGTCACATTGGTCACATGGTCACAAGGGTAGGTGTTGAAGTTGAAATAGCATTTTAAGGGTATTTTTGATATAATGCCTATTTATTGTGATTAAATTCGGTCGACTTTTGTTTTAAACATGTAATTATCAAGCTAATTACCGCAATGTTCTATTGATATAAATATCATACAACGGCCATATCCCAAATTTATTATGATTTAATTTTTGATAGAATTGTTCCATTTTGCAAAATATAACAGTTAATGATCAAACTAAAAACATTTTTATCATTACGTAAATCAAATGTCTTATAACCGTAACATTACTCTAAAACTTTAGGTTTGTTGATATTTAAGGTTTAAAAAGATTTTTTTATAAAAAAAAATTGTTGTGTTTTCTTTTATAATAATAAATAATTGTTAGCAGCAGAATTTTTCCCTTCATTTTTTTTTTTTTTTTTTTTACAGACGGTAGAAAGACTTATAACATTCAGTATTGTTGTTGATGATGTCTTTAGCTATAACAATGACAATGAACAAACGACATCGTTTTAGTAAAATTCCCAAGCAAGTCAATCTGCTAACCGCCAAAAAACTGCCTACACTCGTCCATAGCCACTTATCTTCTCTCCCCCGGACTCTCTCTCTCTCTCTCTCTCTCTCTCTCTCTCTCTCTCTCTCTCTCTCTCTCTCCCCCAC